TCATTTGCTGAACATTTATTGAGCACTCGTTATGTGTTAGGCACTGCTATAACTTGTGGCCTCACAAAAGAGTGCAGAGGTGGTGTAAAAACAGAATACAAGCTCGGCGATCAGGGAGAGTCAATGGCAATTAACATACAGTACATTAAATGGTGGTCTGTGCTGCGGAGAAAAACAAAGCCAGAAAGGTATAGAAGGAATTTGCCAAGGGGTGTGAAACCAATTTAAAACAGGGTGGCCAAGAAAGGCTACTTGGGTGACGTTTGAATTAAAGCCTTAAAGGAGGTAAAAGTGTGTGCTGTTAGTTGTCCTGAGGAAAAGTGAATTCCTTGTTCAGAGAATAGCAAATACAAAAGCCTTCAGACAGGAGCAAGCCTGGTATGTTTGAAGGACACCAGGGAGTTCCATGTGGCTGAATTGAAGGAAGGGATGAAGAGAGAATAAATGAAGTTGGAAAGAGAACAGGCTGGGGATCTGGTAGGGCCTTTGGGTGAGGTAGGAAGACAATAGATAGTTTTGAGCAAAATAATGACAGGATCTGACTTTTAAGACCATTCTAAGTAGTCTGCTAAGAACAGTCTGCGGGCAAAGAGTAGATGTCAGAAAGCTATTGCAATAATCAAATGATAAATTAAACCAGGAAAGTGACATTAAAAACGATGAGAAATGGTTGGTTACTGGCTATGTGAAGACAGGGCTGACTGATGGATTAAATGTGCTATGTGAGAAAAAGGGGTCAGTTATCTCCAAAGCTTTTATAGCTTAAGCAACAAGAGGGATAGAGTTCCCATCAATTGAAATTGGGAAGCTGTAAAATGGATCATCACTGGGGAAGAATATGAGGGAATTCAGTTTTGGACATGTTAGATTTAAGAAGTTTATTGTACATCTAGGTGGAAATGTCGAGCAGATAGCTGAATATAAGAATTTGTAGTTCAGAGTGGATTCCTAAGGTGTAGGCACTCCATTACCAATCAAAAAGTATGCTATTTCACTTTATTTTCAGTGCAAAAGTAGGTGATAGTGGAATTCCTATCTTTTCTTCTCTCCTATTAATTCTTTTATCTGTTTGTTGCTAGTGGTATCTCTGTGTATTTGTTGCTTTACATTTGTTTAAAATAATGAAATAACTTGAGGCTGTGATTTTCCCTTAAATCCAGGGCACTTAAACCCAGGACTTTAAAACTTTAAGCCTTGTCCTCATTTTCATTGTATCAGTTGTGTTTTGATAGAGATCTATAGTGATTAGAGGAATGTTCTCTTAAAACATAATCAGTGACAGTTAATCTCAGATGTAGATAGCATCACACCTTCTATTGTACTTGCAAACTGTGTGCTACTACATAGATTATTTAGTCACTTCTGAACTCTGTTAGCTTTGATAACAAGTTTCTAAATATTTCCTCACTAGGGAGCAAAGAATAGTCAAGAAAGTGGAGTTGACATTGGAATTGACACAATTCAGTTTGGTGCTCCAGCTTCAAATGGGAACGGAAATGAAATTGTTCCCGTGCTTTCGGAAAAACCTACTGACAAAACGTCTGAACCCAAAGAACAACGGCAGAAGCAGCCACGGGCCGGCCCCATCAAAGCCCAGAAGGTAAAGACGGCTTGTGTTCCAGGCGTGATTGTGTGAGAGCCACTAACACTCGTGGGGAACGAATAACACTTTTAAAATTGGATTTAGTTTTCAGTGAATGTCTTTGATCATGATGTGTTTTTGTCATAAACATTGAATTTAGCTTCCAGATTTGAGTCCAGTAGAAAACAAAGAACATAAACCTGGTCCTATTGGAAAGGAACGTTCATTAAAAAATAGAAAAGTGAAAGATGCCCAACAGGTAGAGCCGGAAGGACAAGAAAAACCAAGCCCTGCTACAGCCAGAAGTACAGATCCTGTGACGACAAAGGAAACCAAAGCAGTTTCAGAAATGTCTACCGAAATAGGAACAATGATCTCAGTGTCATCCACGGAATATGGCACTAACGTGAAGGTAAGCAGCGTACAATGATTACCAGTTTAGTTGATGCGAAATGGACTAAAATGAGTGGGGAAAACAGCAACAATTTATTTTGCTTCCTCCCGCCCTCCCGCCCTCCCTCTCCCCTCCCTTCATGCTTGAGGCATGTAATTCTAGTTTAAAGTGAAAAAAAAATTATAGAAGTATAGAATGGTTTTCACTGGGTTTGTAGACTTGAAAGAATTGCTGTATATTACTTTTTATTTTGTAAGTGGAATTACAATGGAGCCTTCCTTATCTTGCCCACTAGTGAGATTCTTAAGTCAGGAAATAAAACAAACTTTTAGTAACTCCAGTACAGCCAGTTTTCTTCCAGGGGTGGAGCAGATATGTTTCACTGGTTGAGCACCAGAGGAAGTGGTTGACTAGCATTTAGGGACCACATTGAATGAAAGATGCATATCTTTAAAAATACCCATTAAGGCAAAATATGCTGAGTGACTAACTTACAAGGGCTAACTCTTGTGGGAGTATCAAACTTATATCTGGTATTTGGTGTTCACTCTGGGACACTTTACTCATTGAGGAAAGGTAGATGGAATCTTTCATATGCTTTGAATACTTTCCTCTTTTTAATTGCCATTCAGCTCAAAGCATGGAAGTAAAAAGGCTTATGTGATCCATCTCTATCTTGTTTAAAGAAGAGAGTCATAATGATAAACAAGGAATGTATCCTACAACCTAATTAATTGTGACAACTAAGATCTTGACATTCATTTATCCATTCTTATTTTGAAGAAAATAAGAAACCAATAGTTGAAAGTAAGCTATAGATTAAGTGTAAGAACCACACAGAGTTCTTTTAGTAATCCACAGAAGCACATATTTGGTACTGTTGACAGCTTCCTAGTACTACGCAGAATATTTTTTTTAAATGTATGGGACCCCAGCAATAGTTGAAATGTGTTGGGTCCGTGCTTGTTTTACCCCACTGTTGATCTTTAAGATTTGAGTGAGCTGAGTCTTAAGGCCTGCTCTCTTCTCCTGCTTTCTTCCAAAACAACTTTACAACTATTAGGCCCTCATTAGAAAGTGGCTCTTTAATTCAGTGTTAAATGTATTTTTTTCTATTACTACTCCACAGGAGTCTGTAACAGACTATACTACACCTTCTTCTTCTCTGCCTAACTCTGTGGCTACTAATAACGCAAAGATGGAGGATACTTTGGTTAATAATGTAAGTAATCACTTGAGGTGTGGCGAGCTGGATAGAAACCTGGCTGTTGTTATCTAATACATACTTTACGACCGATGTTTAACTCCTCTCGGGAGAAGAGTGATAGTAAATGTGTGTTTAGGAACATTGTAATACAGTTAAGGAAGATAGTCAAAGCTGAGTTGTTGTTTTTCCAAAAGTCATCAGCTTTACATTTAATATCCAGGCTTCTGGGGCTTAGGCTTGATTTCATAAGTACTAATCCTGTTAACTTGGTTTTGTAAAAATTTTTGTTCTTAGCTTTCGCATTCTACAGATTCAGCATTTTATTCAGTTGATGATTTTTTTAAGTTTATTTATTTATTTTTAATTACTGTTTTTTTGTTTGTTTTATTTGCTTGGAGGGGGCAGTAATTTGGTTTATTTATTTTTAATGGAGGTACTGAGGACTGAACCCAGGACCTTGCGCATGCCAGGCATGTACTCTTCCACTGAGCTATACCCTCCCCTGGTAATTTTGTTCTTAAAGGAAATCTTTTTATAATGCAGTGAAAACTCACTCACTTAAAAGGAAGATTATTACTAAAGATTTAGGTGTTTCTTTTTGAATTTACAAAATTATACTGAAACTTAACGACAAAATTCCTGTTGTGAAGATTGAGCTATAATGTATATATAAGTACTTCAAAAACCCTTAAATGCACTGTTAAAAGGTGGTAATAAGTCATGTAAATTTGGCTCTAGTTTCCCAAAGCAATCATGTTATAATACAAGACTTTATTAAAAGAAATCATCACAGTCCCAATATTTTGCCTAGTTCACTGATTGACGGGTGAAAAGGTGTAAACCAGAAAAAGTTAGATAGCCTCCCATGGTAGAAGAGCATTTTAGAAGTTACACATACGGCTCTTGTTTTGGAGAGCAGGTATGGTAGAAATTTGGTCAGCTGCTTCCTTTTTTAAAATATAGTCTTCTGTAATAAGCAAAGGCTTCTTTTCAAAAGTATCCTTTAGAGGTATATTTAAAGGTCTCTTACAAAGGGCTTTAACTATCATTTTGAAAATAAAAAATCTCAATTATATCTTATTACAATGTCTGTCCTGTGTTTTCTGTTCTTCCCTCTTGCATAGGTATTTAGGCTTGTAGGTGAGATGCGTTCGGGATCATTTAATCCAACTTTTGTAGTCCAGCTGAGGGACTCTAAATTATGTAGGTGAGGAAAAGGGAGAGACAGGAGTAAGTTACATTTTCTCTTTGTGATAGGAGAGCACTTTAGGGGCTGATTAATGTAATTTGTCCTACTTTCAGATGTTAGAAAACTTCACTATGTGCCAAATTCTCTTCCCCTGACCTTTTGGAGAAAAGATTAAATTTAACTTTTATAAGAAGTTATAGAAAACTTGGGAAGGGCAGAAAGACTTTCTGTCACTTTAATTCCTGATGTCACTATGTAGATTCTCCAATATTGAATCACTAACATCTCAACATAGTTTAGTTATACTTTAATTATGGTATCTTTTCTAACTTTAGAAAGATAATAGTGTTTTTTAGATGTTACTTTTCAAGAAAGTATGATGCTTTTTACCAAACTACTGTTTTCTAAAAATATAATTTATGAAATATGAATAAAGAAGGAAAGATAATTATTCTCAGAACCCTTAAAAGTCATTGAAAATAGCCATATGAGCATTTTAATGGTTTCTGTGTTATCTGCAAGGCTGGTTAATGTAGTGACTTTTACAAGAAGGGCTACTCTGTATAAGTGAATAGTCTGTATTTGAGTTTTAGCAGTGTATTCAGAATGTGTTTGAAAACAAGAAGATCAGTTTGGGTCAGGGAGCAGTATAAAAGGTCATCAACTTGGAGTGATTTCAGTGTTGCTTATTCGTGCCAAGTGTGGTGTTAATTCTGAACTTAATTAATGTAGTGTTAAAAATAAATGTCCCACATGGGAAGATTTTTAGGATCTTTTGAAACGTCCCTTTTTCATTCATTAGTCTGTTTGGGGATTCCATTTTGTCATAGAATTTTGTCTTTTATAAAAAGTAAACAGAAAAAAGACTCATATTCCTTATTGAGACAACACACTTCAGGATCTTAGCTGATAATGTTATAGTCATTTTGAATCTTGAATATCTTGAAAATTTAAATACAGGGTCTTTATTATTATAGCACAGTTATTTTAAAGATTTATCAAATAATCTCCATTAAGTAGTTCATGGTATTATAAATCTCAATTAGATTGTCTGTGGTTTCACAGAGTGATTATCTTAAAACCCCCAAGCATCTCAGTCATTTTATTTGAACAACTTGAGTGAACCATCAAAATCAATCATACAGCAAAAGTACATAATAAATCTCAAGCTCAAGAAACTTAGAGGGAAAAAAGAGATATGGGTAGTGAGGTTTTGGTGGAGGATTTGTAATTAGGTTTGTTTGTTTCTTTCTTTCTTTTAGTGGAGGTACTGGGGATTGAACCCAGGACCTCATGCTTGCTTAGCACTCACTCTACCACTGAGCTCCTCCCTGGTAGTGAGTTTCTAATATCCTCAAGTTTCTAACAATACTTGCCACAATCATGTATTACTATAGCAAAGCAGTTTGTTTAGTATAATGAGGTGGGGGCAATACTACATAACTTTCCTCCCAGTGTTACTTTTGTTCTTGAATCTAAGTATAACAAAGTTGACAATCTAGTCAGGAAAGAGATTCATTTCTTATATTTACCCTATCATGTTAAATGCTTCTGACAGAACCTGTGGATCCTGTAAATGGTGGAAATATTCCTTAGAGCTTTGCTACACAGTGTATGGTCCAGGGACCATCAGCATCTACATCACCTGAGAACTTGTTTGAAATGCAGAATTTCAGGCCTTATCCCAGGCCACCTAAATCAGAATATGAATTTTAACAACATCCCCAGGTGATTGGTATATATATTAAAATACAAGAAGCACTGCCTTTGAGTCTATACCTTATATTTGGGACAGATTCTTTTTCTGTCAATTTATGCATAAATAATCAGATAGTATTTATCTTCAGAAGTTTTATCTAAAATGTCCAAAATTATCAGTTACTTACTATAAATACAATGCAACTCTAAGTCAGATATTCCTTTTGGCTCTGATGAAAAATAAACCACCTTAGAATACATTAGCATTATCTGTAATGGGGCGTTTGTAGGAGACTTTTAGTTAGATTGTGATATGTGTTGCCTGCCTTTTCAGGTGCCCCTGCCCAACACCCTCCCCCTCCCTAAGAGGGAGACTATACCACAGAGCTCCAGCCTAACTTCAGTTCCTCCCACTACTTTCAGCCTCACCTTTAAGGTATGTACGACATCCATCTCTAAAGGTCCTTGGTTATTGCATGCAAGGGGACGTAAGTTAACAATACTCTCTTGATATTTTTACTAGTTTTGTGTAATAAGCCACAACAGTAAGCTGAGGAAATGGAATGATGTCAAATTATACCTTAAAATTTTATTAGCTGCTAATACCAATTAGCAGTGGCTTGATATCCTCATATTTAAAGTGAGGCCTATTATGCTTGCGAATTTTGTCTTAAGAATACAAGAGAGCATTTTATAAAGTTTGTACTGAGTTCCTCTTAGAGATCTTAATAATTATTGGATATATTAGTTGTGTACAAAACAGTTAACTTGGTGTTGCATGTTTTTTTCTCCTAAATACTGGTAACAGTAAGAATGCTAATTTTCTGTCTTGTAAGTCATGTGTGAATTAAATGAATGCAATGTAGTAACTAATATTTTATGAAGAGGTAATTGATTAATACAAGTGATTTTGATTTGATTTTTGTTTGATAATTTTTGAATAAGGGCAAAAGAGATTTTAGACAATACATGATTTTTAATGTCAGGGAGTTTAGGCTTGTATGGTTTGTTTTTTTAATCTCCTATTATGTTTATAATTTTGAGCTATGTTACTAATAACTTTTTTACAATTGAGTTATTTGGGAATATTTTAATCAGTTGTTCACCTCAAGATTTAAAAGGTTAAAAAGTACAGACGTGAAATTAAAAGGATTTTTTTAAGTGCATTTATTTATCTCTTTGATACTGTTTGTTAAGTTTCATAACCTGGGCAGATATTTAACATCTACTTTTGCAGGGCTTTCTAATGGTTGCCAGTAAATCTTTTTGATTGTCTTTGGGAGAGGAAGAAGCTAAGTTGCTTTATATTGTGGCCAATGTTTATTTCTAGACTCTCTGTTTGAGTCTCCAGCCTCCTGACTGGGTGTCCCCTTGCCCCTCAGCTTCTTTTTAAGAGGCTTAATAAATACAAGTTTGAGAGGATAACATTTCATAAGACACCTTCTGCTTTGTGTCATCTCCACCTTTACCCAGTCCTTACTGTTTGCTGCCAGTTCCTACTCAACCTTTGTTGTTGTTTTCCCATTTGAATGACTGTCTCAACCTGTGTTTCGTACTGTATGTATGAACATTTTTACCTTGTTCTGTTCAAGGCAGTAGTCTCATTTCACATAAGCAAATAGAATATCATCATTAATTAATCTTCAGGCCAGTTGTTAATTCTTCAGAAAACACTTCCACGTTGACTCCAAAAGGAAATAATATACATTTGAATTAAAGTAAATTTAAATTGCATTTGCTTACAACTTTCTCTAGTTTAATTTTTTTAACCTCTTTTTAATTGGGTAATTAATAAAGTATGAAAGTTCAACTATATGGATATTATTGGCAATATATTTGCCAAGGGTTTTGAAAAATGAATATAGTTAAGTAGTTATACTTTTTGGTTTCCTTGAATTTCAAAAAAATAGAATCTAAATTTTCTTGCTGCTTAAGAAATGAAATAAAGCCAACTGTGTGTGGCCTATATATTATGCAAGTTTGATGAGCTATAATTTTATATGTTCCCAATACAGTAAAACTGGTATAAAAGGCATTGTAGTCTATAAAATTGCTCTAAAGCATAAAAGCTCAGATAGTGAAAGCGAATTGCATTTTGTCTAACTTACCAAGTGGTACTGGCGTGGGGGTTGGTTGGTTGTTTTACCCTCCAAGACTGTTGTTTTAAAGTAAAACACATTTGAAACCAGCAAGGTGATTGTGAGGAAAAGGAAAGACTTAAACATAAAAATATCCTTTATTTTGTATTTATAGTAATAATATTAGGTTAAATTATATACAGTATTTTAACAGGGAAGTAGAAAGATAAGTAATGTTTCTCAAATTCTTAAAGTCAGACTGAAATTTTAAAAGTTGGTACTTCAAGGACCTACAGGCTTCTTAACGATGTTTTAAAAAATCTTATTTGCGAAAAGTACCCTCATGTAAGTCATTGCCCCTGTGATTTTATAGATTATCTTGGATTTTCTTCTTGGCCCAATATTTTGACTAGTGGAACTAAAAACTTCAAACTCTCTGTACCTGGTCTTTCCTGTTCAAGGAGCCTCAGGATAGTTGAGGATCCACATCTGTGCTCTCCAGTTCAGTACCCACTAGTCACATGTAGTTACTGAGCACGTGAGTGTGGCTAATCCAAGTTGAAGTGTGTGTGCTTTAAGTGTAAAGTAAAATAGATTCTGGATCTGAAATGTTAATTTTTTAAATTAAAACGTCTCAATTTTTATATTGGTTATAGGTTTTAACTGTAGACATAATTGGGTTGAATAAAATGTTACTGAAATTAGTTTTGCCTCTTTATTTTTTTAAAGTGTGGCTACTAAAATTTTTTTAATTATATGTGGCTTGCATTTATATGTCTGTTGAACAGCACTGCTCTAGATTGAAATAAGACCCATTTCTACCTTTTACCAGACTTAGACTACCGCTAAAACCAGCAGCCACAAATGCAAATGGTGGCAGTCAGTGCCTCAAATGCTTGATGGGATCTGGATGTGAAACAAAAAGTTTCTGCTGTACCCGAGCCTAAACCTAACTGATTACATTGCCTTTTAAAACAGTGTGAGCATAAAACAGCCAGCAAAATGTGCCTGTCACCTGCCATTTGAGAACTGTCGGCTTAAAAAGAATGAAGAAAATGGGTATTAATGGAGGACCTTTAGTGTCTTTCCTCCTGGAATCAGAGCCCTAAGTTAGTCCTAAAGGGGCGTTGAATTTCAGTCTCTTGGTAGGAATAGGGACTCGTGTTTAGATAATATACGGTCACAGGAGCTGTGACCGTATATTTCATTCAACTGTTTGCCAAAGCCTTCAACAAGCTCTCTGTTGAGACATAATTAAAGACCACTGCCTCCCAGTTTGAGTAAAGGAGCAGAGATAAAGGGGAAAGTGAAAGGTTTGAAAGCCTTAGGGTCTTAATCTTCTATTTTTGTGGTTTTTAAAATACTATATTTGGAATATATATTTTTATATATGTGTATTAGCTCTATGTTAGCATGGGTTGTGGTTTTTTGTTTGTTTTTGATGTTTTTGGTTTGGTTTTTTTGTTTGTTGTTTTGCTCTAAAAGAAAATGTTCATTTTGTTGCAGATGGAGTCTGCGCGTAAGGCATGGGAGAATTCTCCAAACGTAAGGGAAAAGGGATCCCCAGTAACTTCCACAGCACCTCCAATTGCAAGTGGAGTCAGCAGTAGTGCCAGTGGACCAAGCACTGCTAATTACAGTTCGTTCTCAAGTGCATCAATGCCTCAGATTCCTGTTGCTTCAGTCACTCCCACAACATCACTATCAGGTAGAAGTCTTTTTGTACTTTTTCTTTAACTATCTTAAAATATTTAAAATTTCTTAGGATCTTTTCCTATGTACTATTCCCCAAACTATTATGTATAAAAGATGTAAGATTGTCCATGAGATAATTAGCCGCTGTTTTATAAGCTTCTTGCCATTCTTCCTTCCCTCTCAGTCCTCTCCCAATTTTTGTTTGGCAAATATTTATTGAGGCTTACTAAAATACTTTGTTTGATCTTCTCTACTTCCCACCCCACCCCCACTACAGATACTAGTAAGTAAGTAGTGGGAAAAGTTTTATTGTATTCTTCTAAATTTTTCTATTTTTCTACCTTTTTTAAATTATTTAACTCATATACAGCTAATTAGACCAACTCAGAAATAAAACAGAATCACAAAGCTTTTAAATTTTTTGCAATCTCTACCTAATTTAAAGTAGCAATTGGCCTAAATCTATTGAGTTGACATCTTTTCTATTAGAATTAGGCAGGGTGGAGAATTGCCAGTCTCTGTTATTGGAGTGGATGAAATCCATTAGTTTTGAGATTTTGTTTGTTTTTAAGGAAATTCCATCAGCACCTCAAGTTAGAAAGTGTTTTTCTTAATTTTTCACTTGTGTGTAATCTTTGAACTATATCTCATGGGGCTTTATCATTCTTAAAGAATCAGAGACGATGTTTCTGAAATATTTGACTCTAGGAAAGTACACCCTTTTACCATGTTTATAACTATGTTTCTTTTGTTGAAAACATAACTTCATTTTAAGCTTTTCTAATATTCTCTAATGTTTCTACAACAGTAGGAAGCTCCTTTCCCAATACATGTGAAATATATCCAGCGGAGAATTTAATTTACTTTCCTTGACTGGTTTTCATTTAATGATTGCAGTAGTGATTTTCAATATTCTAGTTTTCTGTGCTAGTTTTAAGTACCAGATATTCCAATTATACTTCTTCCCTCTTTAATCCCTTTCAGGTACTCTCTACCACCCATTTGCAAGGCATCTTCATTATGCTTACTTACCAGCTTGGGCACCAGTCTACTTGGGTGGCTAGAGAATGGGGATCCAGGAGGAGGGTAGGGTAGGAAGATTGGGAAACAAAGGGACTGGGAAAGTTCTTACTTCTTTGGAACCCAGCTACTTCTTTCCTCAGGGTCTGGTTTCCCCCGACTCCCCTCAACTAGGATAAATGTTTAACAGAGACCTTCTTGCCTCGTCATCCTACTGGTGGAGACTCAGGTAGAGCAACAGAGGGACCTCAATCTTGGACCTCCCTTAGATGGAACATTGTTTGAGGTCTGAAAATAATAACTGCTGCCTCTCACTTTTGAGCCAATTACCAGTGTTGTCATTTGTCCTGTTACTGCAGTCATTACAGCTCACTGATCAGCAGAACGAATTGACCCTTCAAGAGCTAAAGTTTTATAATTCCACTTATTTATTAATAGTTTGTTTTGTTTTCAAGGTATTATTATATCCCAGTTTTTGCTGGTGTGTATACAGGAAGGGAAAGAGAGAGCTATAACCTTAAGTTTATACGACTGTTTAGGAGTGATTTACGTTGTATTTTTTACATTGGATTAATAATTATTCTTATGGTGCAGCACTTTGTCCTTCTGTGTTCTTATGTCTGTGCCTGGCCTTTAATAGATGTGCAAATATTTGTTTCTAAATGGATGAAGCTCTGAAGATTATCCTTGAGATATTTGACCAGAAAAATGGGGGGAAAGTTTAACCTTAAATTTAATGACTTTAGGAGCAATTGTGATCTCTCAAGGCCCACTTATATTCACAGTTACTCCTAAGGTGCAGCAGTTTGTTCTTCTGTATTCTTATATTTATGCCTGGCCGTAAATGAATAAAGCTCTTGACTGTAAATTTTCTCATTTTAATTTTCTGTTGTTTATATTTCTCCAGATTTTATAGTCTTGTTTGCATTTGGTGATAAGTGTTTCTTTCATAAGCCACCTCATCTGCTTTTGGCATGAGGTGTGGTATATAAGTACATAATAAGTACATGGTAGACATAAATACTAAATTTCCCTGTTTCTGATTGGTGCTTGAGTTGACTGTTAACAAACAACAATGGTACTTTAAAATCCGTTACATTTTCCCCTTTTTTATCCCTCTCCCAAATGTAGGAGCTGGTACATATACTACCTCTTCTTTGAGTACAAAATCTACAACCACATCAGACCCTCCTAATATTTGTAAAGTGAAACCCCAGCAATTACAGACGAGCAGCCTGCCTTCTGCAAGTCATTTTTCACAGTTAAGCTGTATGCCTTCTCTTATTGCACAGCAGCAACAGAGTCCACAAGTCTACGTGTCTCAGTCTGCAGCCGGTAAGATTTTTAGGATTGAATATAAGGAATTTAGAAAATGAAGGACATCTTTTTTTGTTTTGGGGATGAAGGACATCTTAAATGCTTGTTTTTTTCTTCTTCCTCTTACCCGTTCAAGATTATTTTTTGATCTACTTTGTAAATTTGTTTCTTCTTAGAGTTAAATGCTGCCTCTCTTTCATAAGCACTCTGGGGCTCTTGGGAATTGTTTCTTACACATGTTACATATACAGTAGACAGATTGCTGTCATACAGTCAGCCCTTTGTTTCTGTGGGCTTCACATCTACAGATTTAACCAACCATGGATCAAAAATACACAAAAAAAATTCCATACAAGTTCCAAGAATATGAGTTTTCTGTGTGCTGGCAACTATCTGCATTGCATTATATTAGGTATTATAAGTAATCTAGAGATGATTCAAAGTATAGTGGAGGATGTACTTGGGTTATATGCAAATACTGTACCCTAATTTACATGAGACTTCAGTATCTGCAGATTGTATGGGGTCCTGGAACCAATCCCCTGCAGAAGTTTGTCATCTGAAACTTAACAATTGATGATAAAGTTCATGAGAAGAATAAATCTAAGAATAGCAAAGAAGAAAAAATTACATATGCAGGGGGGTAACTTGTTATTCTAAATATCATAATGCTAATCTGAGTTAAATAGTAAATATCTGAAAAACATTCAAGCTCACTAATGATGTAAATTCAAAATAAAAGAACAGTGAGGCTATTTCTTGCCTTTCCATGTGGGAAATATTAGAAAGATTGATAATATCCAGCATATTTAATACCCCCTATCTATAAAGATTGCAGGTATTATTAATCCTCTTAAAGTACATTGCTAGTAAGCATATAAACTGGCATAATTCCTTTAGAAAAGTACCTCAGTATTTTATGTGTACATACCATAGTAACAGTTTCATACTTAGGAATCTTATACAGATAAACCTACTTGTTAATCAGAGATAATATGTTTGAAGGTGTTCATTTGTTGCAGTATTGTTTATCATGGTAACAGATTTAAAACAACATGAAAAAAAAAACAACATGAGAAGTTCTCCAAAAGCATATTATTGTATAAGAACAGCATGTCACAAAATAGTGTGGATACAGAAATCTGTTAATCTATACCAAATTCTTTCAATTATTAAATGTCAGTTCTTTTGAAATACTTTGCTTAGTTTTAGTAGGTAGATTTAAAATTGGAGTGGGTTTGCTGGTAAATGGGTAGATTTGTTTTCAGTTTTAGTGGATTATGTAAAATACTTTAAAATACTAGTTTTGCCCCTTTGGCAGTGTATGAGAGTGTCTGCTTTCCCATACCTTCACAAGTGCTAGTTTCATTGTTTTAATTTGCATATACCTCACTGATAGAAGTTTCACGTCTTTTTGCATTTGTATCTTTTCACATTTCTAGTTTTTCCTTGGTTGTATTTTCAGAGGGCCCACTTAATTTGGAATCTGCTACAAAGCTTAGTTTTAGTTACCATTTGGAAAGTTTTGAAGTTTAGGTACTTAATTACTGCTTATTTTTCCTGATGATCTGTAGCTCAAATCCCAGCTTTCTACATGGACACAAGTCATTTATTCAATACGCAACATGCACGATTGGCCCCACCATCCCTGGCTCAGCAACAAGGCTTCCAGCCAGGTCTCTCCCAGGTAAATGTCACGGACTTCTTCCACCTTGTATTTATTTCTTGACATTTTTATAGTGCGATAGTTATTTTGGGCTCAGTGTAGAACTAGTAATGGGTTGAAAGGCAATTTTAGATGTTTATATTTGGTTTTGTTTCAATGGGGAACTGATATCTTCTTTGTTTCATATCTCAAATTTTAATTTTTCCAAAGTAATCGTGTGTATATGGCTTTCATGTATTGTTTTCTCATTGCACTGCAGCCAGCTTCAGTTCAGCAGATTCCGATCCCTATTTATGCTCCACTGCAAGGACAGCATCAAGCCCAGCTGAGTCTGGGTGCTGGACCTGCTGTGTCCCAGGCTCAGGAACTATTCAGTTCTTCACTTCAGCCATACAGGTAAATGCTTTGAGGTTAAGTTTGTGATGTTGCAAACGATGTAATTGCTGAGCCTTTTTGTCATATCCCTGCTGCTCCCTCCTTCCCCCCAAAAGCTAGAATGATCCTGTTATAAACTGCATTAAATAGTTACATGTGTTGATTATATGTCATGAACTGCAGCCTCTGGTCATTTCACTCAGACTTTGTTGAACGAAGTCAAGCTTCAAAGCTTCTTGAAGAAGAAGCTAACAGCAATCCCATAACAATTAGAAATCACAGAAAACAGCTGTGAAAGGACCTAAAAGTTGGTGTCATCTCACTGCTGACATTCATAAATCCAGGCCCGCTCTGTGTGTGCTGAGACAATGACAGATAAAAACAGTGCCTAAGGAGGCGGAGGCAAGGGTGGAGCATAATGAAAGAGACAGAAGTAGTGTCAGACAGAGAATAGGACTAGTGGTAGTAATAATGGTGGTGCGTATGCTGTGTGGTGCAGAAGAAACCATTATACTGAAAGATTAACTGTAAGTTTTCTTTGCAATTAAGCAAGTAATGAAAACTGATCTTTAGTGAACTTTCTTTGTATATGATAGCTATTCAGCCCTTTACATGCATAAACTTAATTTAATTTAGTCCTGACAAAATCATGTAAGTTAGATTGAGTCATCCCTACTTGACATTTGAAGGGGTTGGGTTCTTTTTTACCTCATGTTACACTACGTATAAGTGGCAGAGTCTGGATTTAACCCCATGTGTCTCTTATCTCCGGCTTAATGAGAGTGGGAGGGTAGGGTAAGAGTCAGAAGATAACCCTGATCCAGGCACAGCTCGGTCATCATCATGGTATACCTGTCATCAATACCCAGGATAGTGGCCCTAAACCATCAAAAAGAAAAACTCCTCTCAGGACATTTATGTAAAGGATGTTGCAAAATTATGCACTTGCTTTTAGAAACTTGTTTTTGAAGTCAGGTGGAATTTCCGTACTTTATAAATTAAACTTGGCATCAATTGATACAGCTCATTTCTTGCAGATTACCTGTTATACTCCTAACAGAAGCTAGGTTCAGCTAATCAAACTTTCTCAAAAGATGAGAATTATTATTAATAAACTTAATAAATGTGGCTCTCACTTTTTTTTGATTAAAGATTCTTCAGTAGAATTTAGTACATCTGTATAATTATTTGTATGGTATGTTTCATTTTCTGGTATCAGTCTGTGATTTAGCTTGGTTATTCCAAGAAATTCTCTGAACAAGTAAAGCTGTTTAGTCCAACTAGAATTAGAGGCAGTCTCCCATGTTGTTAAATTTGGGAATCTCTTGAAATTTGTAGTAAAATAAGCTTTAAAATTGCACTAGATTTAGAAACAGTAGAATAGATTGTCTCACAAACCAATCTCCTTTTGATTGGTACTGGCGGTTTGAAACATTGAAAAGTTCGCAGCTGATTTTCAGCTCTGTTAAAAAGAGTTCAGTGATTAGTCTTCCATAACCATGGGAGATGGATAGTAGTACACTGACATTCTGTATTTGTAATCCTCATTTTAACAGTTGCCTTGGAAGATGTACTTTTAAAGATCAAATTTGTTCAGTAGAAATATAATGTAAGTTGGGTATGTAGTTGTGGCAAATGGCTACTTGGAAGGCACCAGTTTAGACTTTGAAAGTAATTGTATTCCTACCACATCATTCTGCTGTTTCTTGTTCTGAATGTAATTGGCATGGTATTTGTTAACAGGGAGTCCCTGAATTTATTTCTGCCTGGACAGGGTACTTAGTAACAGTATACTTATGTATTCTTCCCATTTTATATTTGAAGCAAATTATAAGTAGACATTGTAAAGGTAAACTTGTGGCCCTAGACTAGCAAGCACTCCTGCTTAATGGGTTTTGTTTCTGCTGCATGTGTCAGTTTTAACAAAGCATTAGTGTTACTTGAGTATATTATCTTTAATCCACTACTTTGATTTAGTTTGTATCTTAGCATTTTTTAAAGTAAAAATTGGAGGTCTCCACCCAGAAATAATAGGACAGTCCAAGGTTAGATTCCAGTATTTATTTTAAAAAGAGAGAATACTTTTAAAATATGCAATACAGTGTTACTAACTATAGTCACTAAGCTGTACATTCTGTGGCTTATTTATTTTATAACTGGAGGTTTAAACTCTTTGACCATAATGCTGTGTTGCATATTTGAACATTGCTAAGGGAGTAGATCTTGAAGTTCTTATCAGAAGAAAAATTTCATAAGTATGTGTGGTAACAGGTGTTAACTAGTCATTGTTGTGATCATTTTGCATACATATGAATTCCAAATCATTATGTTGTACACCTGAAACTAATGTAATAAGTCCAGTATACCTCAGTTAACAAAACAACAGCAAAAAAATTGTGGGTAATCCTGTTGTGTACTGTTACTCTGCTTCATTCCATAGAGGTCTTGAAGACCTCTTATAGGAGGGAGGGAGATAGATATATAAAGGGAAGTAATGAGATACAGATAATAAAAGTCAGAGCTATTGGTGCTATAAATTTGAATAGAATGTCAATACCAAAGACAAAAACAGCATATTTGGTTCTGAGTTTGCTAGTGGGCACATGGAAAGAGAATTTTTCTCATTGTTAAAGAGAAGGAAATCTCACCATTTTCTCAGGAAGAGCAAGCGTTTTCCCAAACTTTTTAAAAGATTTTTGAGGGGGGGTTGGGCTGGTTGGTTTGTTTTTAGTGGAGGTACTAGGCATTGAACCGAGGACCTCGTGCATGCTAGGCATGCACTCTGCTGCTGAGCTATGCCCTCCCATTTCCCAGAGCTTTTACATGTGGAGCTTCATTGTATACAGGGCTCTTAATCTTGAAACTAGTGCCTTAGACACAGTCTGTATTCCCTACCTCTTTAATTATGCCAATTAGAGTACACAGTCATTCTTAAGATTCCAGATAGAATTAACTTCTAACACAAGCCTTTTCTCTTTAATACTTATATAGATCTCAGCCAGCTTTTATGCAAAGCAGTCTATCCCAGCCATCTGTGGTCCTTTCTGGTACTGCCATCCATAACTTTCCAGCTGTCCAACACCAGGAACTTGCCAAGGCACAGTCGGGTCTTGCCTTTCAACAAACTTCAAATACTCAGCCTATTCCTATATTGTATGAACATCAGCTGGGCCAGGCGTCAGGACTCGGAGGTTCCCAGCTCATCGATACACATCTTCTCCAGGTACGGCAGGGACCAGAGTCATGCATTGTCACTGTATTCCTATGCAACAGGTTATTTAAGGAAAGTAATTTTTAAAGAAAAATTGTTAAAAGACAGATTGAAAAAAACAAATCTTCATTTCTATCTAAAAATAAAATTCTTAGAGATTGCTTTGAAGCCATAACCTTGATATCTGAATTGGAAATTTTTTTCAATCTTATTGCTGTTTTCTTACAAATTTTTTTCTAGGCTAGAGCGAATCTTACCCAGGCTTCAAATCTTTATTCTGGACAAGTTCAACAGCCTGGTCAGACAAATTTTTATAACACTGCCCAGTCACCGAGTGCTCTCCAGCAGGTAAACTATGGCATGGTAAATTTCCTCAGTTTTCTTTACTATTATTGTCGTTGTCACTGTTGCTGCTGCTTTTGTTGTTTGAGAGTTTAAGTAGAACCAGGATTGGGAGGTGGTGCAGTGGTTTCAGACTTTTCTCTGAGGTGTCCTTAGGAATTCCATGGGGCCCACTGGCAGTGGGATGTGCGTCATTCCTCCAGCACCCCTCTCCCTACGCACACTTCAATCAATTATACTTTTTACCTCTTTTTAAAATGGGTTTCCTTGTAATCACTTATTTTTACAAAGATTCCACAAATGTAAAAGTTTGAAAACCATTGTCCAGGATATACACTTACACGTAAGTGTGGTGAATGCTTTACCCATTTGTGCTAGAAGTGAAGGAAGACTGAAGACCACCATACTGGTTAATATAACATGTAGGACTTTGGCAGAATCTGACAGAGTATAAATGACAAACACGTTTCTTCAGCATATCAATGTAATTATGTTCAGTGAAAAAAATGTGTTTTTATAAAACTGTCCCCTCCAGCAATGTCATTAGCTTCCTCTTTGAAAGGTGGTGAAGGGCTAGAGGAGAGACACGCCATTAGTCATTTCCTCACAACTGTTTTTGGGGGCTGTTTTAGGCGGGGACAGTTCAAAATATATCACCTTATTGACATTCAGATTAACTACTGTTTGTATGAAAACTGAAAAGAAAGTTCATTTTTCTTGTCAAAGCTCATTTTGACCAGACCCGAAATGGCATAAAAATGTCTATTTGGGAAGTTGTAACTACTTCCACTTGTATCCTCATGATTTGACTGTATTTTGTGGTTGTTTGATGTGAGCTGTGGGTTAGTTCAAAGATAGTCATAATTATTTCATTTATATAGTTTCTTCACAGCTACTCTGTTTTATTATTGCAGCTTTAATAAAAGAATGGAGATAGTCACTAAGCAAAAAGTATATATATGAAATAGGTTAACAGATTGAAGTATTCTTTTCAAAACCTTACTCAACAGTATTGGAAGAGTCATGTATATAGTTATAGGGACATAAATGCAACAGGTCTAGGCAAACTGCTGCAGCTTCTGTTTGCTTCTTTGCTAGGTTACAGTACCTTTACCAGCATCCCAGCTGTCCCTGCCTAATTTTGGATCTACGGGGCAGCCTTTAATTGCTCTGCCTCAGACTCTTCAGCCCCCGTTACAGCATACGACCCCGCAAGCACCGGCCCAGAGCCTGAGTCGTCCTGCGCAAGTAAGCCAGCCTTTCAGAGGGCTGATACCTGCTGGAGCGCAGCACAGCATGATCGCGACCACAGGGAAAGTAAGCACGGAGAAATTCATGGAGTTTCTTTGAGAATTTAAGGTCATGGTTTAAATATATGCATAAAATAAAATGCATGTTTTTACCACCCTCTAGGAAATGTCAAAGCTCAGTGTACTTATGTTTTATCTGCTCACTTTTAATGTGGGTTTTACCTAATAACCTATATACCTAATAAAGAATTCGTATATTTTTAGGAAGAAGTAGATTTACACGGTCTCTTAGACTTTTCAGCCACAAATTTGGCTCTGATAATTCCATATTTGAAACCTAATAATAGAATTTTTGTACTTAACGTTCTTTTCCCTTTGCCAGATAAAGTTATCATGTATAGAATACTAAACACAGCACTTTAGTTTATGGAATTACAGAAATGTTAAGTTTATTTTATGCTTTTTCTCAGATGTCTGAAATGGAACTAAAAGCGTTTGGAAGTGGCATTGACATAAAACCAGGCACACCTCCAATCAGCGGTAGAAGCACCACACCAACATCTAGTCCCTTCCGGTAAAATGGGCATTTAAAGTTGCTTGTAGAATTTCCAAATAATTGAGCACCATTTGTTTATTAGATGCTTAATATGTCTCCTGTCTTGTAGTAAGCACAAGACATTCTGACAGTTTTATCCAAGATTTTAAACTATTCAGTTACTAAGAATGTATTTGTTATACTCTACCTTAAGAAGAAAATTTTAACCTAGGGCAAAACTAGCTGGTATGCTTTCTCACGTCTGCACCTCCAGTGTCTCTCCACTACCAAGGTGAGTCGGTAACTCACCTTGGTAAACTTTCATCAACTACCAAGTATGATGGGTCTACCAAAAGCAGTGTCTCTAAAAATCTAACAGCATCATTTATGTGGCATTACTGTACTGACCAGTGACGGCTTCTTTCCAAGGGCTACTTCCACAAGTCCGAACAGCCAGTCCAGCAAAATGAACAGCATTGTCTATCAGAAGCAGTTCCAGTCAGCCCCTGCCACTGTGAGAATGACCCAGCCATTTCCTACACAGTTTGCACCCCAGGTGGGCAGATACGAGTGAGAAATGAGTATTATTTACTTGCAAGTGATTGCTAATCTGGCTAATTCTCTGATTTTATAATTTTGCCGTATTATGACCAGTTTAGAAGCACAGTTTTCAGTGAGCAGCAGTTTCTTACTTAACAGTACATGTATGACATTCAAATGTATTCTCTGCAGTTTTTAGCTAGGCACAAGTAGTAATCATGTAGTTCTAAAGCAGACAATAGAAATAGAGTCAAAAGATTCCCCACACAGCTCTGATCGTTTATTTCAGTCCTGATCCTTTTATCTTTTTGAAGAAGTTGACTTTTCAGAGAAGGGTCCCAGTGCTTAATGTTTTCTAGGTTTAAAGTTGTCTTTTGTTTTTCTTTTTAAAAGATAACTGTGTGGTTGAGGTGGGAATTCAAAAAGACGTTCTAATATATGTATAAAAATGTTGGCGTCTCTTCCATTTGCTGATCACATGGAAGGACTAACTAAAGCTGATGAGCTCTCACAGACTTGTTGAATTAGTATTATTTTCATTTACCTTCAGATTGTGTTTGGTATAGGTATGTGCCTTTTCTGCAATTACATCTTTTTAAAAAGAGACCCTAATTAATAGTCTTTCTATCCCCCCTTCAGAATGTGTGGCTGGAGTACTAGAACCAGCTGAAGTGCCATAGCATGCTTTGTCTCATTTTTCTGTTAGATTCTCCAAGCATGGCCAGTTTGTTCTTGGTCCTTGCAGTAGAATGGCACAGACCCATACACGTCCCTTCACTGGCAGGATGGGCACAGATTTACTCTGGGATAAGCCAACCCAGTCTAGTTGGCAAATTTTTTTTCTTTAACAGTTCAATGTTGTATGTCTTGTTTTTTTCACTCAGATTCTCTCTCAGCCTAACCTGGTCCCTCCATTGGTAAGAGCCCCACATACTAACACCTTCCCAGCGCCTGTTCAGAGGCCACCAATGGCACTGGCCAGTCAGATGCCTCCTCCGCTGACCACAGGCCTCATGAGCCATGCTCGTTTGCCACATGTAGCCAGGGGTCCTTGTGGATCACTATCTGGAGTCAGAGGTAATCAGGCCCAGGCTGCGTTGAAGGCTGAACAAGACATGAAGGTTAGTACAGTGTTAACAGCCAACAGAGCAAGAATCTGTCTCTGAACCATGTCTTAAGATGCCTCTGGACCCATAACTGCATATCCAGGCATTCATTGTCTTAGCCGACTTAACCAAACTAACTACTTTTATTCATTCCTCCCCACACACACCTTTTTTAGTTTTTGTTCCTCCCTATTCCCTCCACTTGTTTTTGTTTTTGTTTTGGTTTTTTTGCAACTATAGTCAGTAAACAAGTTAACATTTTTAATTCTGTGGCCAAGTGAATTGCTCATGAAATAAATATTTGAGGGAGATTTGAGCTTAGATGCTACATTTTTTTGTTTTCAGAAGAACAAATAAGTAACAGGTTATTATAGGCTTCCCCATTTTCTTCCTTTTTTTGTTTTGTTTTGTTTTGTTTCTTTTTCTCCCTCCCTCACCCCACCCCCATCCCCATCCTCCCATCCCAAAATATCAGTCATGGTTATGTGAAAACTCTGGACTGGGTAAGACATGTTACCCTTCTTGATTTTTCTCCCCTCATGAGTCATCCAAGTATATTTTTCTTCTCAGACTGTTTTCATGCCATCACCACCACCACTGCCACTACCACCCCCTTTTTTTTTTTTGCCTGTCACCTGAGGTGGCCATATTCCACAGCAGAGTGTGCAGTTATAGATGAAGAACTCAAAAAAGCACTTTGGGATCCTTCGTGATAAAAGGCACTGATAAACGTGAGGTTTGCTAATGCAGAAGGGTGCCTTTAGGAGTCTGTGTGGGGACAGTTTTTAGAGCACGAATCTTACCTGTCTGCCTGTACAGCTAGCTGAATCAGTTTATTTCTGTTTCTGTATTTACTTAGACTTGACTTTAGAGATCTTGGTAATTTTGCCAGTTTTGTCACTATGTATATCAGATCAGACTAGAAGAAGGAAAAGCTTGCTGCTTCCAAATGGGAGATGTCCATAGTAATGCTTTCCTCTGAATTAGAAACCTGTTTATGATAGTCCTGTTAGAGAGTTCACCTGACTGACCAAAGTTTCCTTCTGGGTTGATAGCCCTTGTTTCTGATCCTGAGTAATCAAATTTATAGACTACCCTGCAGTGAAACTCTTGTTAAATGTTACCCACTTTGATTAAGGCTCTGTGCCTAGGATTTCCATCCATTCATAACTATTAAAAACACTAGCATGTGTAGAAATCTTTGGAAACCATTTGGCTGTGGTTTCCAACTCTCCTGCCTTCTTGGCACTTGATTTTCATACATCCCCATGTTGGAAATAACATTAGAGCTTAATAATAGGATGGGGAAGGGTACAGATTTCTTAAAAATTGCTTCAGATCTTTGATTAGCACAGGTTACCTGTAGAACATGAAGAGCTTTGTTATGTACTAGGGGCGTAGACACTGCAGCGCTAATTGTGTATGTAACAGTGGTATAATTTACAGATTAACGTAAGTATGTTCTTTGGGGGCAGAGTCAATAAAACTAGGAAATTATTTTACCAGCTCAGAATGTGGTAGGAGCTATCAGAACTTAGTGATCAAGTGAAGTTGTAGTTACTAATTTCTGATGCTCTTCCCCTGCAGAAGAGAGCTGTGGGAAGAGGACTCAGCCACAAGACATTTGGTCCTAGGTGTTGGTAATGCCACAATATAAGTGCTTCCTTTTCATTTTATTGTAGACCACATATTGATAACTAGAAGTTCTTAAAGTATTACATATATGTTTTCAGATTTACAAGCAGGCTCCCTAAATGAAATTCGATGTCAATAAGCTTTGTTCCAGAAAAGATACAGACCAACAACAATTTCTGTTTTATTATTTTATAAAAGGGCAAACTGACAAGGTGGTGGGAGGTGGTCCTATTCTTTTCAATTAAAAAAAAAATCACATGGAATGTTTTCAAAGATAGGAAGAAATCTATCCATTAAAAGCCGAAAGGTCAATAAGGTACTTTGGGGCCAAACCAACATGGGGAAAGCTGATTTGTGATTGGTAAGAGAATTTGAATGAGCTTGATTAACAGGATTTGGTGATGCTGCAGCATTTTCAGTTGTTGTTTTCTCATTTTTTTAAGGCAAAGCAGAGAGCAGAGGTTCTTCAGTCCACGCAACGGTTCTTCTCTGAACAGCAACAGAGCAAACAGATAGGAGGCAAAGCCCAGAAAGCGGACAGTGATTCAAGTAAACCTCCTGAAACACTGACTGACCCTCCCGGTGTCTGTCAAGAAAAAGTGGAAGAAAAGCCACCCCCCGCACCCACCATGGCCACCAAACCTGTTAGAACTGGACCAATCAAACCTCAGGCGATCAAAACCGAAGAAACAAAATCTTAAAGGCTGTGGTTCATTGCAGGGGGCTGGGGGAGGGGAGGGGGAAAGAGGGAGAATGAAGTCAGACCATGCCGGCAGCCAAAGGGGTAAAATGGTCTCTGGCGTTATCCTGTCCAGAACTCAGAGGTGCACGAGGAACACAGGAGCAATTTACACTGACACACAGCCGCTGCACCGGGAAAACAAGGCTTTGCCCGCTTGCACCTACTGTGTAACACGCACTCTGCTGACGGCCATACACCTTCAGTCAGAATTTATATACAGATATGTGCACATATTTCTTGAGCGCATATAATTTAGAACTAAAATTCTTACGCTAGATAAAACACGAGAAATACGAGGGAAGTAACACTGCAGAGGAATAGCTCAGCCTGAACAATGTGATGGTCCTAGCTAAGACATCAGATGCAGTGTCTTTGCTCCCTTATGTTCTTTGGATGTGGTTATAGCATTTATAGGCTTGGTGGTGAAGAACAGAAGATACTTGGTGCTGGATAGAGGAGCCTTATTTTTTATTATGGCAGCTTGCTATTTTTGTAACATGATGATTGAGTTGAACACAATCAAAGTACAGTAACTGATCTTCCCTTCTTCCTGGACGAGTGAGCAGATGATGAAATACTGATGTCGGCATCCTTGAGCATATCCAAGTGGGCAGAGTTTGGCTACGGCTTCTGTTTGAAATGATGCTGTGTTTGGATTGTGGCCCGAAGCTTTGAAGTGATGCTCGGCATCTCCTTTCTTCCATGGAGCTCTTACCATTCAGACATGACAGAGCTGGTAAAATACTAGTTAGGCTGAGTCTTGCTTGCCTCTACTCAGTCATCTTTGTATGAATCCAGTGGGGTTTTTTGTTGTTGTTGTTGTTGTTGTTGTTTTTCAAACGGTTTTTAGCTGATGTTCATGAAGAGCAGTGAGTACCTAGAACTGTGCCACTAAAGAAAGGAAATCCTGTCTAAGAAGGTGCATCTCTGTGCCAGAGCTGTGTCGTAACCATCCTTTGGGCCCTCTGCTGGAACAGTAGAATCAAATATCGAATAATGCCTTTTTAATTATATCCTCTAGTATTATAGACGTAGGACAGTCCTGTATCATACCTCTGTGAATGTAAGATACCTTGTACCTGCTTTATGATACGTAGTAGTGACCGTGCTTTATCAGAGCTGTTTTTAATGACGTTATTCTAGAATGTTTTCTTTCCAGATGATGATTGAAAAGCTAATTAAAAAAAAAATGGTGCCAGGTACCACGACAGTAACAGAACTTAGCTGTTTTCTGGGGTTTTGTTTTTTTACTTTTTTTTTGATGGCGTGTGCTGGATGTCTCTGTAATT